AAGAAGGGTTGGAGCAGAAAAGTTGTTTCTAGGCTAAAAGCTAAATTGTTCAGGCTAAAAAATTTGGCTTTTAGCCCAACGGTTGGAGATGGTCTTAAGAAGGTAAAATTTTATTTTCTTCTTTTCTTGATGGATATGCTTTTGTTTGTAGGTTGATCATGTTGTTTCATTTTGTGAAACAATGTAGCCTTTGTCAATCAAATGTTTTGCTGAAACATCCAATAAGAAGAATAAAATAACTATGGTAAGAAGCAACCTAATTTCAAAAATTTTATGTGATTTAGTTTTTAAATTATAATCTTCTAAAAACCTTTTGTAGATTGCAGAGCCATTGGAGAGAGGACTTGCTGAGGACATTGAGAATGTATATAAGCTACAATGTTCGTTTCTGCAATGCAGGTTGAGTATAATTTCCTAGATTTCATTTATGCCTTCCATCGTGTTAAGTCGGTTAAATGTACTATTTGGTTTTTGGGGTTGAATAGTGCGATCTGAATCTGGGGTTTAAAATTTTTGTAGCCTTGAGTTGAACTTGATCCAGAGCTAATGCAAATGGATTTTTATTATTCCTATATATAAATGATGGCTGTTGAAATTTTTTTTCATTTATTGATATCATAGTTTGCCATCATCTATCCGATTCATTCATGTAAAGTATTACTGCTAATTAATTACAACTGTATTTTTTTTTTCCAAAATTAATTACAATTGTATTAACATTTTGTTTCAGTTGTAACCTTTTCTTTTTTTTTTCCTTGATGATCCAAATTGTTTTATTTGCAGTGACTGCTTCAAGAAAAATGTGCTCTTATGGGATATTCTATGTTCAGGTAATTATACAAATGAAGCAGTGGGATGATTGTCAATGGGGAATACTAGACTAGCCGTTTTTGTATATCAATGACAAGGCATTTGACAATGTCTTTTTTGTAAGTTACATAAACTTAGACAGCTTTGTAAAAATATTTGCTCCATTTTCTACTTAATGTTTATCTTAGTCTTTGGTTATTTATATTGTTAAAAATATAATCTATAGTTATATTTTCGCTCCCGCAACAACTGCGGGTAAAATTTATTAGTATATACTAAAGACCTCTAATAAAAGTGAAATTTAAAAGAAATAATTTCAACATTCTTTTCTCTCTATATACACTCCTCTCTATTTCGAGAGATTTTTCAATGTACTCGGAACACGAAATGAAACATCACATATCATTATATAATTGGAAGAATATTTAAAAAAAAAGTTTTACACCAATTATGTAATAACATGTGGTATTCCGCTCTATGTTACGGCACAATGAAAAATTCCTCCTCTATTTGTTGCATGAATACTTACAACAGGCTTCGACTTAAATTACGTACGTACTCATTACAATACACACACAGTACGTACTCGTTACAATACACACACATTGACACATACATACTTAAGCCCTCTCCAAAACGGTGACCGGAAGTCCGCCTTTCATCTTCGCGGTGAGATAGGACAACAGCTCCGGCTGTGCCCCGCCCTCCCTCTCCCGCGGTACCACCTTAAACCGCTTCAAAACCGCGCTCACCACCCTCTTCATCTGCAAAAACGCCATCTCCTTCCCCAAACAGATCCTGGGCCCCGCTTGAAAAACCGGATAGCTATACGTGTCCCTCCCAACAAACTTAAACTTGTGGGCCCCCCTCTCCTCTCTCTCCAGCCACCTCTCCGGCCTGTACTCCGCCCAGTCCGCCCCCCAGATCTCCTCCATGCGCCCCATCGCGTACACGTGGTACATCACACTCATCCCCTTCTTCACCTTCGTGCCGTCCGGCAAAACGTCGTCGTTTGCCGCTTGTTTGCTGTCGGTGGGAACCGGTGGGTACAGCCTCATGCTCTCGCACAGCGCCGCGTGGGTGTACACCATCTCCTTCACCTCGTCGTAACCTCCTCCCGCTGCCGACTCAGACGACGCCGCTTCGTTGATCTCCCTCAAGATCTCGTTTTCCACACGTGGGTTCTGCGAGAGAAGCCAGAAGAACCAGGTTAGAGCCGCCGACGTGGTGTCCCGGCCTGCGAGGGTGAAGCTGATGACAATGTCGGTGACGAACTTTTCGTCGGTGTGGCCAGAGCTCAAGAACCGGGAGAGCAGATCTACAGATTCCAACGCCTTCGCCTCGCTCAGATCCCGCTTCTTTTCTTTGACAATGGTTTTCGCGAACTCGCGGACTTCCGATACGACGGCACGAAGGCGCTTTTCAGACCCGATTCCGAGAGCCCTTTTGAGTTTCCATACTGGGTGCGGCAATGTGAACCTGTCGCTGCTGATTTGCACGGCTTCGTCGAAAGCCACTGCGAATTGGCTTCGGGCAGAGAGGGCAGGAGGTAATCCGGGTCGTACCCGAAAGCAATTCGACAGATGTTGTCGAAACCGAAGCGCTGAAGAATGTCTTGGAAGTCCAGGACTGAACTGCTGGCGGCGGAGGCGGAGAGAATTGGAATAAGGCGGTCGGAGAGCTCGGTGTCGACCACCTGTTCGACAAATTTACGCAGAGACTTGGTGTTGAACTCGTGGCTGGAGACTTGGCGCTGGAACTTCCAGTTATCTCCATCGGCGTTGAAAATGCCGTCGCCAAGGAGGTCGGCGAGGGTGGTGCGGAAGGTCTCGCCTTTTTGGTAGTTGGGGAAGTTGGTCTTCAGGATGTGCTGGACAACGGAGGGATTGGCGGTGACGACGAAGCGTCGGCCGAGAGAGTGGTGGAGAGTGAAGGTGTTTGATGGGGAGGTGCGGAGGAGGTCGGTGAACCACGGCAGTCTGCGGCGGTGGTTTTTGTAGAGAGATGGGAATGTGCCGATTATTGGGTATGATTTGGGGAGCTTGCTTGTTTTGGGGTTCGGGTCCGATGAAAACCTGAAGAGGAAGAAAAGGATGGGAAGGAGGAGGAGGAAGGCGAAGGTTAAGAGCTCAAGAAACATGGCTGGCCGATATAACGCAGAAAAATGGAAAGGGTTTAAAGGTGTCGGACAATTTGCAGTGGTTGTTGTAGTGCTGCTGATTTGCGGATGATTTGGCAGCAAGATTTGGGGTTCCATTTATAATGTCTGAGTTTGTTTTGTTTAAAGCAAATTATCAGACTAATCACTTTTCACTGGAAATTTACAGAAAAACATATGGTCTTGTATGAACAGTTTTTAGTGTACTTTTCAATGAGTCAAGTCAATGGCAAGCATAAATCGTTCACAATTAAATGACAATCGAGGTGATTAGGGATATTAGTACGTAAGCGAGGTCGTCAGAGCAGCCGCAGGTACATGGATGGTGAGTCTTCAGTCTTGGATATACCAAAAGTGGAAGTAGATGAAATGGATTTGCTCTTCCAAGGTATGGTCTTGATAATTAACCCCCAAAGATCCCAACAAATAATTCCCAATTGAAAATTTTGGAGAAACACCGTCCGTCACCCACAGTTGTTGATGCTCTCGAGAGAATATTCTGCTCTCATTGGGTGGGTTCTTCTACCGGAGATAATGAAGGAGTACAAAGGTGTGCTAGCCTTTTGAGGTCAAAATACTTTTCTTTTTTTTTTCTTATTTATTTAAGGGTATGCTTAGAAGCTAAGTGGAAAAAGTTTAATCAACTTTTTTCACGCAAATTAATCTTAAACGTTAGATAAGATCTGAAATAACGTCTATTTGCAAACAGAATAAAACACGGTAACCACATTTGTAATATTGAAACCACGATGACCAAAGTCTTTTTCTAACCTAATTGTCGCATTATATTTGGGTCAGTAGGTCTTACCAAAAATTCCAACACCAAAGTACCCAAATCGGAAAAAGAAAAACACTAATTACTCTTATCTCCACAATTTGTCCATAGTATAAATTATGCAATTATTTAAGGGCGTTTTAACGAAAATTTCGCGATACTGTTCACATTAACGAAAAATCACATTTTACACTAAAAAGTCAAATCTGGTACTATTCACTTTACCTTTTATTTTATCCTTATCCCTAAAACTCAAAGTTTTTAAATCTTTTTCTTTAATTTTCTTTTTATTTAAGTGGTGGACCTAGAAAATGGAAGACGACGTAAGCAAAACCGTCACCCAAAAAGACAATGAATGGTGCATGTACGGAGGCTTCAAGGGTAAATCTACGCGCACGGCACGGCAGAATGGCTTGTTGAAAACCAAGATCCAAGGGTCCCAGCTCTAGGATGACTCTATAGCCTTCCCGGAAGTGGGAAGCAGATAGAAATCAGAGGAAATCCAATTTCAATGTTTATGTGCATTCACACCCCACAAAAGCTTTGTTCATACTACTCGAATCGATTTATTAGTTTGATTGTCTAGTTATTCACAATCGTATAACGACACGTTACCAGATTAGCTGGATCGTCTAATTATTCACTATCGTATATCGACACAGTTACCAATTATTAATACATTGTTGATATTATTGATATTATCACTTTGTTATCAAAATCGTACATGATAAGTAATTAATAATGTGACATCAATTTTATGATCACGTGAACACCTACATGACCAGAGAGGGAGGCATATAGACATGATGCGCACATGTAAAGTTACTCCATTGCATCCTAGTTGGTGTTAAATGACGAGGTAGTTAGAGAGACGTGTTGTACACGCTTGGCATGTAAGTTCCTCTCATCTTTTATCATCCATAGCAAGAAATTTCTAACGAGGAATATGCAGGTACCTGAACAATTTGGGAAAACTGTGGAGAAAACTTCTCGAAACTTACTAGAAAAGATCTGCTTGAATTTACAATGGAAGTGGTTTGGCTAAAAATGGAGCCTTAACCTTGACAACAAGAAATAGCAGCTACACAAAAATGCTAATTTTACAGCCTTATCAATAAATTTGAACTTAAAAATACCTGCCACTACTCCAAACAAAAACAATGGGGAAAATCGGCCCCAACAGAGGAAAAAGAAGGCCGATGGAAAATTGTGCGCTTGCGAGATGATAACGCTATGTCCTGGTATAGACGTTTTTTCGGTTTTTCCTTCCAAGAGTTTTGGCCGGCTGGTACCTGTACATGAAATCATTTTGATTGTTTACGATTGTGGGTGACTGAAGGAATGCAACTGATTTCTACACTTTTGCACCAAAATGCTCGACTGTACCTGACAAAAAGAATGCATGAATGGTAAAGCAAATGTTGGAAAACACATTAAGCAGACGAAAAAGGGAGGGAAACTTGAACAGAGCTAAAGCACATTTTAGTCCTCGGATAACATACGTACCGTGGAAATCTCCATTCGAAGTTAGGGAGCGGACGGATTTCTGAAAGCTGCGCCAATTTTTCGCAGTTCTCGCAGCTCCTGAGCTATCTCTTGAACAAACTGTAGCCCTTCCTGTCCATTTTGAAGAGAGCTCAAAAAATCGTGATCAGTCTCGAACCTGTCCTTAACCTGTCGTTAAGGTGGTTTTCCAGAACATCCAATTCAGAATCTTTTTTGTCTTCACGGTCTAAACTATCGCAATGAATTGGTCCCTCTTGTGGAGCAGCGCTTCCGTTAGATATATGTAAATCGTTTGGCATCTGCACAACTTCCTCTTCAATCTGACCATTTAATAAAAGCCTAAATTTTTTAGGCGTCTCTACTTGATTCGGTTCATCATCTGTATGCTTTCTAGAATGCCCACCATCAGGCATGTTGGCGGAAGCCCCATTGCAGGAAATTTCGGAAAGCTTCCTCTCCAAGCTCTTCAAACAATTTGAAATGTACAATTTTTCATCTTCAAATTCCAAAAGTGTTGTCTCAGAAAAAAGGCGTTCATTGCTAGCTTTAGGTACCTCAGTAACTGTTGAGTTACCAGTAGCTTCGACATCACTTTTTACGCAGGGAACAACGGCTTCAGGTACCACAGTACTCTCCACTGTGTCAATCTTTCCCTTCAAATCATAACTTTTTACCGGCAATGCCGGCATTGGCATACTCTCCATTGTCGATTCATCTGGGATATCGAACTTAGAAAATTCTAGCTCTGCTTCCAAGTCCTGTATTTCTTTCTCCTTTTCAACCAGGAGATCATTGGCTTTTTCGAGTGCATCTACATCAAACTCAGCCTGCTCTTCCATCATTCTTAAATACTGAAGGGCCTCCATATGGATTGCAGCTTTCTCTTCCTGTAGCTTTGTGATCATGGCCATTGCCTGATTTGCAGCAATTTCAGCGGCATTCCTTTCTTCGTCTAATTCCCTAAACAACTCCTTTATGCACTTTCTATAATAATCAACCTGTCGTTTTAACCGATCGACAATACTTTCACCTTCAATTTCACTGACATATCCTTCATCCAGAGATTCAAGACCAGATTCTACTGACCATGATGTTTTAAGCCCTGGATTTGGATTAGAATTGGAAGCATCAGTTGCCTGTTTTTCATCACCACCACCACATACCCCTGAAATTGTATTATTTGATGATGAATTACTCTTCCGAGCAGAAGACTTTGAAGCATCAGGTACGGGCTTTTCGTCACCAACGCCACGTGCCGCTGAAATTGTGCCATTCAATGATAAATTTCTCCCCTGAGCAGAAGATTTGGAAGCATCACTAATCGGCTTTTCATCACCAACACCATGTACCCCTGAAATTGTACTATTTGACGATAAATTACTCTCCTGAGCAGACGATTTGGAAGCATCAGTTACCGGATTTTCATCACCAACACCAAGTACCCCTGAAACTGTATTATTTGATGATAAATTTCTCTCCTGAGCTGAACAATTTTGTGAGTCCGTTGGTTTCACTTCCCCATCAACTCTATCAGGTACCTTCACTGTAGGTTGTTCTTTAATAGAATTGGATGTATCTCCTTCCTTACCAATGCCTGCTGACTCAGACACAGCATTTACATTAATATGATTTGGCTTCGTAAGAGGCGGATCATTGATGATAGGATCGGTTTTAATAGGTGCTCCATCTGTTGCACTTATAGACTTCAAAAGTTCATCATTCTTACTGATGGGTGCATCTCCAAAGTCGCTTGTCCCAGTAAAACCTGTTCAATAATTTCAAAAAAGGATCAATGTAATAAGTAAAAACTCATAGAACTCATATTAACTGGAATCTGAAAAGCGGAAAGTTGAGCTTACAAGTTTCAGCAACATTAAATGATGGAGGGATATCATCTAGTGAAATAAGCTCAGGGAATGCATAAGGGATGGAATTCTGACTCGCTTGCTGCCAGTTAAGCTCACCCAAGCCATTCTTTGAAGCAACATTCGAGCCTAAGAATTTTATATCAGACCTCGTGCTACCATCTGGCTGCACACTTGGATCAGAAAGTCTAGGCTTGTGGTCGGTGGTAACGTTGCTCTGCTTTGCTGGATTCAAACCATTTAGCGGTGCTTTGAATGGTTTTTCTGAAGTATATTGAGCTACTAAAGCTTCCTTCTTATGCTCCTGATTTCCAATGATTATGCTGCTACCACCGTCTTCATCAGAAAATGGAATCTCAGAATCGGTATCAGAACTAATCTTCAACTCAGTGTATCCTACATGAGACAAGGGATCCCAGCCAAGTTTTCCAGCACGACGAGCGGATTCAGTATCGGAATTAATCCTCAACTCAGAGTATCCTACATGTGGCAAGGGATCCCGGCCAAATTTACCAGGACGAAGAGTGGAGTCAGTATCAGAACTAATCCTCAACTTGCGTCCTCTATGTGGCAAGGGATCCCAGCCAAGTTTTCCAGGATGACGAGTAGTTACTGATCCAGAAATTTTATCCCTGGTCTTCTTTGAACCATCCCTGCGAGGTATACGACTACGGCTTGAAAAACGTGGCAAAGGAATATTAGGTTTGGAAGCAGATGATTTTCGTTGTAGTCCTCGAGCATTTTCTCTAGGTATATAAGGCCTACTGCAACAAGAGCATGGCCTTACACCCACAGAACTATGAACAAACTTTCTGTTCTGCATGGACCTCCTAAAACCGGAACTTCCAATATCAGAATCCGACTTGCCAGCCGAAAACATGTGCTTTTCGGGGTTTGACTTGCCCTTTTTGGCATATGACACGATGCAATCTTCACACATTCCATTGCCATCATGCTTACCATAAATTTGACAAGACAACCATGACGAGAACTCAGATATGTGGTTGCTGCAAAGTAGATCCTGATAAAGTTGAGGTTTTGGTTTTTCACTGCCTATAACATGTTCAAACCTGGAGCAAAAGATGCAAGGCTTTTGCAACTTGCAATATTCTGCAAATTTAGTAAGCAGATAGGATAATAGTCCATCGACAAGCAGAAGAAAGATCAAAACCCACTCACATGCTGCAGATGTTAGAATGTTTACAAAACCCTCTAAGTTCTTATGCACATGTACAGATGAATTTCCCTTTGCTGCCATCTGCCTACCAATTGCTCTACAATCTCATGACCTTCCAGTTACAAAAACTCGAGGAGATCACCAGTCGATCAAGGTAATAGCAGCTCCTATCCACCCAAATCAGAATTAAGCATCCCATCTTCAATCACCACCCCAAGCAAAGAAACCAATGAAGCAATTAGGAACATCAAAATAAAAATAATTGAATCACAGAACTGCAGTTAAGCTAGAAACTATACCAGATGAAATTAAAAACATTAAATAAACTCAATGCATACAGATGTGAGTTAGGCAGTGTGTATGTACTTTAGCACCCGAGTTCAAATCCCCCTCCCCAAAAATCAGAGTAGTTCAGAATACCGCATTGTACGAAAATAAATAAGCAAATAAACCATACCTAATTGTGCATCACCAACCATGACAGAAGCTAGCTACTAACAAGAAGTACCAGAAGACAATCAAACATTAAACTCTTAACCATCCCAACTGTTCTAAATAATGACAAATCAACAAACAACGATATACCTTAAATAAAACGAAACGAAACTCACCTAACATAATTAATGTGAGAAACCCAGATAGAGTTCAAGAACACCAATTCTGTGTGAATAAAAAACAAAGCAACAAACTTTGCTGCAAATTCTAATGGTTCAAGCATATGGAAGGTTACCCAGCATATTAATTTCTTCTAAAATTCTATAAAATTAAGGAACTTCAAACAAAACAAACCACAAAAAAAGGATCACGAAAAGGGCATCATCCAATCCATCACAATGTGCATTGCGATTTCAGAAAACAAATTAATCCCAGATTAGTGTTATTCTAAACAGAAATAAATTTTACATCTTTCATGCATTTCTCGGGTTTAACTCATGAAAAATGTAATGGTAAACAAGATAAACACAAAAAGGAAAGGGAAAGAGGTAGAGAATGTGGGTGGTACCTGGAAAATGGAGCTTATGGAAGATCAAAAGGTGAAAGGGGAAGAAATGCAACTAGGGAATAAAAACTTAATGGCAAAAAAAAAGGAAAATGAAAATCTTGGGGGAATTACGAGCAGGTCCTTGCGTGGGAAAGACATTGACCGTTCAAACCAACCGCTTGAAGATTTGTTTGGATGCCAAGAAAAGCGAAGCTCCAAGCTTTAGCTGGCTCATGAATTAACACGTAATAAAATCTGGTTAATTATACATACACTCACGAGGTTTTTTGTATTTTCACAAAACGCCCTCAGATTTTCAACATATCACAAACGTCTTCTTCTGTTTTAAAATCATTTCACAAAACTTATTAGGATTCCGTTAATTTTATGCTGACATAACATAAAATAATTTTAAAAATGATAAAATTAACCTTGTATATTCCACCGGTAGCCACACCCCAATGACTAATATTTATTTTTCTCCCCAAGTAAGATTTTGGAAATGTTGAAAACTGGGTGCCGCTTGGGATCTTGCCAACCCAGTGATTGCGTGAGAGGTTCAAGAACGCAAGGAAATGGAGTTTTGAGAATTCTGGTGGAATCTGCGCTCTCAGGTTGTTCACTGAGAGATCGAAAGACTCGAGGTTTCGCAAGTTACTCAATGATGATGGGATTTCATCAGTGAAAGCATTGTTGAAGAAGTCGAGGATATATAACCATCTGATTTCTCCGATATCCACCGGTATTTGTCCGTAAAATTTGTCGCCTGAGAAGTCAACCGCGGTGAGGGTTTTTTATTTAGGTGTATGTGTAATTAACCTTAATTAAATCATAGAACGTGGCAATAAAAAAATGTTTGCAATAAGTTTTATTTTTTATTTTTTGATATAAGTGATATTGGGAGTTGTAGTTAATACTTTGGCGTCGAAAATGTTAACTAAAATTTCTCATTCAAGTAACGGATTTAGCATTGAAGGGATTCTCTGATCAATTTAGAGACCAGTAAGGAAGTGTCACCCAACTATAATTTTAAGTGTTATGTTCTTTTATTTTTCTTTGAACAAAAAGAGTTCTCTTTAAAACAAGTTTAAAGTAAAATAATATTAGTTTGTTATTTAACATTGCCAAAAAATTTATTTCACTACAACTTTAATTAATAAAAAAAAAAGAGAAAAAAGAATTTGGTGTTTCATGAAGAAAGGATGGGTTGTTATTATATACTTGTGATATGGAGAGATGCATTGCTGGGGGCACGAATGGGTTCACCTCTCAGAATGTGTGTGTTGACAGCTGCTCTCACACGAAAGATTTTTTTAATGTGTTTAGAATACGAGCACATACGTCATCTGTCATTATATAAATGGAAAAACACTTAAAAAAAATTTCTCAATTTGTATAAATAACATATGACGTACCAGTTACCACCATATAGTCCAATCACATTGAAAAAAATCTCTTCTCTCGCACATCCAATGGGGGCTCTTTCTTTCCCTTTACTAAATTACTAATACCAATTTCATTGTAATTAGTGAGTTAGTAATTATGCACAATCACAAATGCTTGTAACAACGTAATGTGAATTAGGTCGTTTTCAAGAAGTTATTCTTATCTACTTGTAAATTAACTTTTTAAAAAGGAAATTGTTAATTGTTATGGACAGTTGAAGAAAAGTAATACTAATTGTAGATTGGGTTGTTTTATTGAAACACAACTAGCACAATTACGCCACTTAATATACCGTCTAATGATATTTTTCCGTACTATCCCACACTAGGAAAACAAACACAAGCCCATCTCAATATGCCACTTAATATATAACCGTCTAGTGGTATTCTAATGGTATTTTAACGTTCAATCCCACGCTAGGAAAACAAACACAAGCCAATCTCAATACGTAGCACCCACGGCCTAAATTAGTCTAACAGATTTACAGTGAACACCCCAAGTTTGGTGGGTAGAGTAAAAAGTTGAACTCGGAATTGGAAGGGGCCGCGCGAACGCAGGCCCCCACTGGCACAAATTATGACGTTGGCTCTCCCACTATGGGGAGACCATAGGCGGGCACCCCTCCTGAGTGCAATGGAGGTCACCAACCCAGGCCATGGGCCTTCTTGATCACCCATTGACCCCGTCCAGGTAAGTATGGAGAACGTTCCCTCCCCCTCCACTTTTCTACTCTCTCTTCTCTCCCCACACTCCTTCCCTCCGTCGATGTGGGACTCCATCCAATCTTCCAAGTTCCAACAACAACAACCGACTCAAGATCTAAATTCTAACCCCCTTAAAAAAAACACTAAACACAAAATCTTACAGTCTACCATTTGCTGAAGAAGCTTGGAATTGATGAAGGGGCTGCTCAAATCCTTCACTGTGAGTCTTCTGCTTTGTGGGCATTTCGAAAGTCGTCTGCTTTTTTTGTTTTTGTTTTGGAGTTTATTGAAGGAGCTGATTGTGCTGTGTGATTGAATGAATTGTGTGCGTATGCATAGAGGGTTGGAGGAGGTGTTAGGGGTTATAGCGCGGCGAGGAAGGACCTTCGGATTGAGGGGGTTAAGCATGCCATAGCTGTTGCTTCTGGTAAAGGTGGTGTCGGCAAGTCCACCACTGCAGGTACCATTTTGTTTCTTCACATTTTTCGAGTTTTTACCAATATGGTTTTCGTTTAAGTGTTGATATCTAAAAATGGTTGAACGTTGTGGAGTTTTTGAGCATTTTAGTTTTCTGGGTTATGCGAAAATTGTGTAAAGAGGCATCCTTTTTTGTGATTACAGTGGTCTCCAGTAGGGTAAGTTTTCGGATTGCGGTGAGCTGAAGACTACGTTCCTGAACTTCTTTGATTATTTTCAGCTGTTTTGGTTAATTTTGTCATTAAATGTTGAAGAAAACAATGGATTTTTAACCTTATTGTGTGCTGGAGTTGTGAGGTAGTTATAAGCGATTCCAATTTTAGATTGTAGAATAAACATCAAAGTTTAGAATTTTCCATCTCACTGATTTCGCATTTTGAATATTTTATTGTTGCAAATGAAATCTAATCTAATGATGTTCAAAATAGTGACTTTCTGATTGCTTATTCAAAATAACATATGCATAATGGTGGGAATTGCAGTTAATCTGGCTGTTGCACTTGCTAACAAGTGCCAAATGAAGGTTGGCTTGCTTGATGCTGATATATACGGACCAAATGTTCCTATAATGATGAAGCTTGATAGAAAGCCAGAAGTGACTGAAGGTATATGTTAAGTTAATTTTCTGCAGATTTCACTAAAGAGATGTAGAATTTATTTGGTTAATTTTAAGGTTTGTTCTAAACAGAGATAAACTGGTAACTAAACTTTCCAATCAGTTTGAGTGTCTCGATTCCTGTACGATTCTTTGCACTTCATGTTTTAAGCAATATTACCTCTTCATTTTGCTAAACAGTCCTTCCGAAGCAATATGAGAATTTAGGTTTTCAAATTTTGTGATCAAACACGATATAAGGTATAAACTTCTGTGTGTCATTTCATAGTCAAGTCCACTTGTGGACTCTGCAGAAGACAAGTCCTATAAACAAGTATCCCTTTACATGCTTCACACAGACACACTAGATAATGACTTCATAATTCTGCGTCTTCTGTTACATCTTGTATCATCTCTATTGTGAAGGCAACCTATATAAACTCAGACATGCACAAACGCCAGACATATACTCTCCTTACTATTTACTGATTCCATAATGCTAGACTGGAGAATATTAACATTATGGTCATCTTCTACCAGATAAAAAAATGATTCCAATCGAGAGCTATGGAGTCAAGTGTATGTCAATGGGACTTCTTGTGGATAAGGATGCTCCGCTTGTTTGGAGAGGTCCCATGGTATAACTTTGATATTATAAGTTTTATTGCTTAATTGTTTATTTAATTTCATGTTCCTTGTATAGTTTGATTCTTGGCGCTAACTACTAACAGTTAGTGCTGGTATGCAGACTACATCATTACTTTTTAAGAGATTTCATTTCCAACTACTGGTATAATTGTCCTCATTATCATGAAAGAATGCAAATTAGTTAACTGAAGTGAGGTTCCTATTGAAATTTAACCAAGCTGGTACTTTTCTTGTGTTTGTGTGCGTGTGGACGAGTCTTCATATATAAACATATATATCACTTATTTATTAATTGTTAAATATTTGGTTGCTATGAGTTTGAAATTATTGTGCTGGGGTTTAAGAAATTTTGTTATTATTGAGAGAAAGTAACAAAACACCCAGAAGTAATAGAAAGTTTGAAGAAATTAGAAAGGCCAGGGTAAAGATAGCATCAACATCACTAATTCAAGTCGGATAGCATCAACATCGCTTGTGGTAAGAATAATGTGCTGTTTCCATTTGTTTTTTCTCATGATTTTTTGGTTTAATTCTTGCAGGTATCTAGCGCTCTTGAAAAAATGACTAGGGGCGCTGACTGGGGAAATCTTGATATTCTTGTGGTAGATATGCCTCCTGGCACTGGTGATGCTCATATAACTGTATCCCAAAGGCTGCAATTATCAGGTAGTTGAAGAACATAACCACAAAATGCTTTGTATTTATGTTCAAATTTCCCGCATTTGGTTTGGGTAGTATCTTCTTTGATAGCTGAGGTTCGTATCTCGTGCCTCAGAATCTTGTGCAATCTTCGATCTATGTTAAATGCATTTAGCAAACTATCAAAGTACCACAATCATTTCTCCCACCTTCAGCCTCTAAATGGCCTGTAATGTTTCAGCATGGTTGTTCAACTTGGTCTAATCATTAAAACTGGAGGACTGATATGGTTCATTCATTAAACTGTACAATAGGCGCAACTGGTGGATTTCATATAAGGAATTTATATGTAAAACATAATGCTAGTATAGTTATAGATATTAAATATCAAAATTTTCTTTCTGAAGACATGCAGATTAGTGCCCCTAGACCCCCTCCCCCAGAACATCCGAGTAATATTCCAGCTTTACCTTTCCAATATTAACTTGGTTTCACAACTATCATTTGGTTTTCCATAACCATGACTGGTTTGTTGGTAGGTGCATTGATTGTTTCAACGCCTCAAGATGTAGCATTAATGGATGCCCGTAGAGGAATTAACATGTTCTCTAAAGTTGAAGTTCCCGTATGATTTTATTATTCTTCAGAACCCATATCATCTTTGGACATGTTTGCATTGGCATTGTAAGTTTGTGGAGATCATCAGTGACATAATTGTTAAGATAATTAAATTTGAATTGCTGTTGTAGATTTTGGGAATTGTAGAGAACATGAGCTATTTTAAGTGTCCGCACTGTGCCGAATGTTCCTTCATTTTCGGGAAAGGAGGATCTCGTAAGACAGCAACTGAGATGGATTTGGAATTTGTTGGCGAGGTATGATTTGTTAGTTTCATCTGTTTCGTAGTTTACTGTAATATCCGTAAATTCCTTTGAGGTTGCATCAGTTTGGGTCTCGATTCTTATCTTTTATCTCCTTCCTCTCCATCTCTCTTCTCTTTCACACAGAGTCATTTATTTTCATTAGAGTAGGAGGGTAGAAATTTTAGATCTCCATAGTATTGAGACTCCTCTTGTCACTTTCCATAATCTCTGCTGAAGGCATTATGTTTTGCTGCAAACCAGATTTCTGTTCTTGCAAAGATACCATGAATGCCAATCTGCATAACATACATACCTCATGTTAGTTTAATGGAACCCGTATTTGATATAATTTCAACTTGTAGTTTATGAGTGCCGTGGTGTGTCGCGCACACGCCATTTGAAGGAGCTTTCATGACCTTTTTTGTTTTCATTTTTTCTCCATTTGATCCTATATTTAAACAAATTCACGTAATTGGATTTTTTTTTTTTTTTTTTTTATGTACCCCAATAAGCTGAGATGAGTTGCACCTATGTTAATTAATCTCTCTTGATCAAAGTGCTTAATGTTTCAGATACCGTTAGAAATGGGGATCAGAGAAGGCTCCGACAATGGTGTCCCAATAGTAATATCAGCTCCTGATTCTGATGTCTCGAAAGCATATGTGGACGTGGCTCGGAAAGTTGTAGAAAGATTGTCGAAGGAAGAACAATCCCGTCCACATATATGCCTCTGATTTTGTGTTGTCCAATTTCAGCAAATGAATGGAGTCTCTGCTGTACCTTCTGCACTAATGGCAGATTCCCTTGTTCATGCCTTTGTAATCTTTCCTCAGCATTGTCACAGAGTACTATTAGTCCGTCGGACGAGTACCGCGGCAGTATAAAGTCGAAACAAAAGAACAAATTATCAGAAAACTCTTTATAGTATCGGATTATAATTTATTAGAACATATTCCGATCATCTGAAACTTGTAGTGAGCAGAGCTATTGGAAATTCAAGTTTTGAAGCACTTTCCATCTCTTAACATCATTGAAGGCAGGGCCGGTCCTGTGGGTGCCCAGTGCGAAAGTTCAAAATGTGCCCTTTTTAATACAAAAACATATGTTAAAAAAAAATATTTAACGAGGGCTGGAACCCAGTCGAAGCTGGGGGGCTAGGCCCTCACGCCCAAATTATATTACCTGAGAAAATATACAACGGGAGGACATAGTACCTAAACCCCGACAATCAAAAGTACAATCATATACAACCACTCCTAGCAAATCTCCTTCAAATTTCAACCTTTAAGAAATTGTCTTCTAGTATTTTTTGAAGCAAAATCATCAATTATATCATCATACTCCAAGTCTTCAATCTCATCCTTTTCAATGCATAAGATTGCTAATCCATTTAGCCTATCTTGAGTCATAGTGGTCCTCAAATAAGATTTTAATAATTTCAATTTTGAAAAACTTCTTTCTGCAGATGCCACAGTCATAGGTACAGTCAACATTACACGATAAGCAATCAAGACATTAGGACACATGTCAATTTCTTTGACAAAGTTTGCTATTTCCATGGATGTCCAAGGGTTATTAGAGAGAAATGATTTTTCAGGTAACATCATTTGCAAAACCTGTAATTCGGAACATAAGTCGGCTCCATCTACATCCATGGTATTTCCATGTTTCAAATGTGCTTCAAGATTCATACAATTTTGTTTTAACTCTTGATCATCCAATGAAATTAACTTCGATGCATCAAACAAGAAGCCAAAAATATATTCAAAAGCCTTTAACTGTTCAAACCTGTGTTTCAGTTGAGAAAGAGCAATATCCACTATAACAAGAAAATAATCTGTTCTAAATGATTCTTCAGCAGACTGTTGTTCCCTCTCATTACCATCAACTTCATCATGTCTTTTTCTAGGTCTATGACGTTTAGTTTGAAAAACAGGGTCAATTTCTGAATCAAGTGCAATTTCTTTAGCATCACTCATGGCAGAAGCAAAACCAGTTTCTCTATAGTTTTCGAAAAACATAACAAGTGATTCCAATGCCTTTACAGCAACATCAAGACGCATGTCTTCAGATTGTAATTTTGTACTCACCATGTTAATCTTCAACAAAATGTCATACCAAATAACCAAACTTAATACAAAATCAAAACTTGAAAGTTCTCCTGATGCTAAACATTCTGCATCCCTACTCAATTGGGGATTTTCAGTAATTTCCACCAATTGAAACAAAGCATTTCTAACCTGGGCTACTTGGGACTTAATCGCTTTAACACTTTCAATGTGACTTTCCCATCGAGTAGTTGACAATGACTTCAAAGTTAAACCATCAATATGTTCAAGCAAAATATTCCAACGCTTTGTAGAGTTGGAAAACACTGTATATATGCATTGACACGCTCCAAAAAAAGATTTTGCTTTAAGACATGAACTTGCCATATCACAAACTATTAAATTAAGACAATGAGAACCACATGGCATGTAAAAAGCTCTGGGATTTATGTCTAGCAATCTTTTCTGGACACCTTGGTGTTTCCCTCTCATGTTAGATCCATTATCATAACCTTGTCCTCTCACATTATCAATATCAAGATCAAGAGACTTTAGGACATCTTGCAACTCATTAAAAAGTCCTAATCCTGATGTATCTTCTACACTTAAAAACTCCATGAAATACTCCCTTATATTTATTGACCTACTTGACAAGTCAACACATCTCAAAATTAAAGTCATCTGTTCCACATGACTTGCATCAGGAGTACAATCAAGAATGACAGAAAAAAATTTGGCTTCTTTGACTTTTTTAATGATTGCGGTTTTGACTTTTGAAGCTAAAGTAGCTATCAACTCATTTTGAATTTTATGGCTCAAATAGTGATGATGAATCTCTTTATTCTCAATGAGTCGAAAATGCTCTTGCATTATTGGATCAAACTCTGCAATCATTTCAAGTAAACCTAAGAAGTTGCCATTAGAGTCTTCATAAGGTCTTTCATTTGTTCCACGAAATGCTAAATTATGTATGGCAAGACATTTCACAACAGCAATAATTCTAAGCATCACTTGTTTCCAATGATTTGTCTGTTTCTTGATTCGCATTTGAAATTCTTTGTCAATTGTCTGATTTTTTGTCAATCTACTTTCGGCAATTTCGTTATCCTTTGCCTTTTTTTTCCTTTTCATATTACCAGAGAGTTGTTTCCTAAAAGACATGGCTTTGATAATTTGTTTGCAAAAATTACCTACACATGATATAACAAAAATTTCCTATTAAAATTATCATTGCAAGTCTAACACATATTATATATTATAAAAACACTAACATCTATACATCAATTAATCAAGAATTCAATTCATCAACAACAACAATTCTATACATCAATTATCATATAATTCTATGTCACTTGCAAAATTTAATTTAAATTATGAATTAATATTCAAATTTTAAAAATTAGTTTATCAAATTACCTCAAAAGTTACTCGGGTTGGTGAATGCACAATGGCAACCGGCAGCAAGGATTGTGGCTGAGAAAGACAAAGACCTGTGGTGGGCACTGGGCATGTATCTGACTGTGTGTCGGAGTTGGAAGGTTGGAATAAGCAGTGCTGACTGATGGCAGTGAGGAAAAATAACAAACGGCTGGGAAACAAAGGGGGGGAATTGGGAAAAAGGAATTAGGGTTAGGTGGGAGGGGGGACCGGGGAGGTCCCTTTACATTATTATTATTATATATATTTTGGTTAGGTGGGAGGGGGGGGGACCGGGGAGGTCCCTTTACATTATTATTATTATATATAATTTTTTTTTTTTAGGCTAAAACCTGTCGGTTCAATTATATATATATATATATATATATATATATTTTTTTTAATCCTGAAACTTGGGCATTTTCCTTTATTGTCAAATTTGGGCCTCTTGCCCTCCATTCTTTATTTTTGGGCTCTGGACAAATTTTTTTTTTATACCTAATTATTTGGATTTTTTTTTTGGTGCCCCTTTAAATTTTGGGCCCTGGACAATGGCCCTGGTTGCACTGGGCCTGGGCCGGCCCTGATTGAAGGAAGAAACATTTCATTGCACTCAGAATTCAAGCTGGTATATTAGCGCGTGCCCTAAAAGGGGAGGGACACTAAAAAGCATATCATCTCTCTACTTATATTATTACATTTGATATAAGGGCTTGTATTTCAAGCTACTGTATGAGGAGCAAGGAGGGGTATCCAGTTTTTGACTTGTGTCTCCAACCCATCATTTTCATCATGATGGAATAAGTTTCATTTTCTCAGATGAATGGTAGAGTTCAATTCAAAGGAACATGTAGAAGAATATGCATCTTCCACATGCACCTCTTATAGTGGCACCTATCGCTTTCTAAACCACTATTATTAGGATAGGGATTCTTTTCGGATTTCTTCCACCAAATCCACCAAGTTTGAGAATCCGAACCATTGAAATTTGATCTAACGGTTATAAATAAGGAGCTCCTTTAAACGTTATAATAATTGTAGTTGTTAAATCAAATTTTAACCGTCTTGATCTCCGAACTTAATGGATTTGATGGAAATGATCCGGAGATCCTTTTCCAAAATAAAGCTAGAAGAACAAGTCAAACCCACTTGACTGCATCCAAATCATTTTCAATGTTTCCGCCATTTTCCCACCATCTCTCAGTTCTTCGCTTCCCCGTCCACTCATAATCTCTCTCTCTCTCTCTCTCTCTGAATGCATCACTGCACCGTAACCCTGAAACCCCCAATTCCACACCATGTATCCTCCTCTCACTCCCACTTGATTTTTCCCCCCAGCCCTGGGCTGACCAAATCCCAATCCCACCCCATCTTCGCGCCAATATACATTCGCGCTCATTCCGTCTCCAACCGCACCGCCAGAGGGCTCGATGTCTCCGTCTCCAAACACTCCCCAAACTCCAGCACCCCAAATGGCTCCGTACACGATTGGAAGCCGAAGAGCGTCGGCGTTAAAGACGTAGATGTCGCCACTCTCGGCAATCTCTGCGTGGATATCGTGCTCAATGTGCCCAAATTGCCACCGCCCGATGTCCACGACCGCAAATCTTACATGGACCGGTTGTCCGCCTCGCCGCCGGATAAGGTTTGGTCCTCTCGCAGCCTCTGACTATGCCGAAAAAATTCGTTCTGTAATTTAATTTCTTGAATTCTGTGCATTTTCTTTACAATTAAAAATTGGACCCATTTGATATTTTGCTGTAGAAGTGAAGTAAAAGAGTTGAATTTGTGACAGTGACTGCTAATTTCATCTCTCTAGCGCAATTTGGAGTATTTTATTTGTTGGGATTCTTTAATTTCAGGTTGCAATGTGATCAAGTTTATAACTTTCGACCCATTACAATGGTTATGGTTTTTGCTTCTTAATACTTTCGTTTCGTCGTAATTTGAGTTTTTAGTTTTTCCTTTTGTTGATGTTGTTTTTCATTGTGTAGTAGTTTCTATGAAGAAAAGTGTAAGGTGCTTCCAATATTATATGATAAGCATCTCTGCCGATAAGTTTTCCAAATTTGATTATATGGTTTGAAATGTAGCAATACTGGGAAGCTGGTGGAAACTGCAATATGGCCATAGCAGCTGCAAGATTAGGACTTAAGTGCACCGCAATTGGGCACGTGGGTAACGAAGTATATGGACAGTTCCTTTTAGATGTCCTTCAAGATGAAGGAATTAGCATGGTTGGAATGAGTGACAACAATACCAATGTTGACAGTTCTAGTGCATCGTATGAAACACTTTTATGCTGGGTACTCGTTGATCCATTGCAAAGACATGGTTTTTGCAGGTAAATGTTTTCCACTTTTTGCTTTTCTTGTAGTAATTCCATCTTCTTTGTAAAGAATGGCAATTTGAATCGACCTGGTTTGTTTATCAGCCGAGCTGATTTCAGTAAGGAGCCTGCATTCAGTTGGATGAGCAAATTATCTGGACAAGTAAAGACAGCTATAAAACAGTCAAAGATTCTGTTCTGCAATGGTTATGGCTTTGATGAGCTCTCTCCTGGTGTAATAGCCGCAGCTGTAGAGTATGCCGTTGACGTTGGTACAGCAATTTTCTTCGACCCTGGACCACGTGGAAAAAGCCTTTCTGCTGGTACAACAGAAGAACGAGAAGCACTTAACCTGTTGTTGAGGATGAGTGATGTTCTTCTCCTAACGTCTGATGAGGTTGGATATATTGTTAACCACGATTCATCTTTCTTCTAGTTTATTCCATCTTATCGTGTGCAAAGTTTTCCTTTTGTCTTGCTGCTTTCAACCATCTAATACATTGTGATGATATTAATGATTTCCAGGCTGAGTCATTGACGAGCATTAAAAACCCAATATTAGCAGGGCAGGAGCTGCTCAAGCAAGGGGTGCACACAAAATGGGTGATTGTCAAAATGGGTCCAAGGGGTTCAATTCTAATAACTAGGTCAAGTATTTCTTTTGCACCAGCTTTCGAGGTATCATTTTCTAACTTTACATTTTCTTATGACATTGCCGTGAACTTGTAGCTTACTTGTTTATGAAATCATACTGGTACATGTTTATTAATTCTTGCTAGATATTTTTGTTCTACATCTAACTTTGGATCAAATTCAGTACATCTTGCTTGTTGTTTGCCGTCATGCACACCGTTTCACGCCAAAATCATATTTGTTATATTTAAGTTTTAAGCACAACATTAGACAAAAAAAAAGTTATCAAAAGTGTTGTACGTGCTCAAGATATGTCTGTTTGCTCTGTGTGCTCGTGCTTGTGTATGTTTGTTGTAGCTTGAACCTTCCTACAAATAAGAGTATTAGGTAGATCATATCTTTTGGCCAGAAGTAATTCTGCATCATAGAAGTGCCTTCATATTCTGTTGTATCCTGTTTGAATTCAAGTTCCAGCTCTCTTTATTGGCTGATACACCGATGAAACCTTAGTTCTTGTGCTGAAATGTGACAGGTAAATGTTGTAGATACTGTTGGATGTGGAGATAGTTTCGTGGCTGCTATTGCATATGGTTTTATCCACAACATGCCGATGGTTAACACATTAGCAATTGCAAATGCAGTAGGTGCAGCAACTGCCACAGGTTGTGGTGCTGGTAGGAATGTGGCAACCTTGGAGAAAGTAATAGAACTTATAAGGGCATCTAATCTCAAGGAGGATGACAAATTTTGGAATGAGTTAATTGATGAAAATTTGGGTGTCGAGGAAATTACGTCCCTCTCAAATTTGGTCATCAATGGAAGTGATAACCAGTTAAATTGTGTGTCCTTGCAGAAGGTGGTATCCGAATTGCTTCCTAAGCTCAAATCTGCACAGTTAGAAAGAAAAGTATCTTTTTGATAGATCGTAACAATAGTAGGTTTTTAGAAATTGGAGTTATTTGATTCTCTGGGTTTAATTACACCCTTGGGGTTCTTCTTCTTCTATGAAATTGAGTACTTTCGGGGAAAACATCAGTTTTGAGCAGGAGTCAGGTGAGCTTGCATAGCTTGAAGTTCATCTATTGGATTTAGTGAAATATTGTAGGTGACGGTATCGATTTGGTGCGTCTAATATATGCTTTGGCAATTGGCATGAGATCGCTTTTCTTTCCAGCTTTCTGCAAACATATTTTTTACTCTCCTGCGCGAAGATGTTTCATTCTTTGCACCTTTTCAACAGATTGTTCGGGAAGTTATTTAACACGCTCTTTTTCTCCTCTTGCACTTTCTTGTATGTTTCTGGCCCTTGGATTGAATGAATCAAAAGGGAATCAGGAGACAAAATAAACACGAGTATGCAAAAGGGAAAAAAGGGTGTGGCGATATCATTTCCCATTTGTTATTGATGAGGCATCTTTATTGGTGCTTTTTAGCCTGATATGTGGTGTAAACAAAGAAAAAGTGAATCTTATATGTTATGGTTTTTTGAAATTGCAATTCTAGAAATTGATTGTCACTTTGGCTCTTCTTTATTCATACCACTTCTTCACCATGTCTTTTTATGCATATCCTTTTTAAACGAGAAAAATCAGACCAAATTAATTACGAAAAGTGATTTTTGCACTTCCTTTTATACTTGGTGTACTTCCCCTCTTTTGTTCTAACGATTCAGTAGAATGGCGAGACATAATTGAGATGGGTGCATAACGTAAAAGATGATTGCGAAAATCACTCTCCATAAATAACTTTACCCTTCCCCTCGGTTTTTAAGTGGCAATGCTATAACCCTACGACCATAAACACATACTATATAGGATTTAGCATGGCCGATTGAACAAGACAGATGAAGGTTTGGCTAGGTGGACACGCTACCGTGCCGAACTTTTTTAACTCGAACTAGAATTGCCGTCCATGTCATTGAACTCAAATGAAATGAGTTGAACACATATTTATATTGATCAACTGACTAAATTCTCGTTTAAAAATAATATTTTTAATATTTGATTTTGCAAATTTAAATTAAAATTTTGATCCATTTAATTTTATTCTTCAAAAAATGTTATTAATAATGTACGATGAATGACATTGACTCATCGAGTGTAGTAAAAATTAAAAAAAATGGATTTGATAGGTTTTTTATGTGGGAAAAAAAGTAAATTACCAAAAAAGCCGAGGAGAAGAAGAGAGAACTACACAAGTGCCCTGACTCTCTCCTCATTTGTAACTGCCCCTATTGGTCGTAGCCCTCATCTTCCACCAAACAACGCTCATACCACTCCTCCATCACCTCTTTTACTTTTATGCCCTCCTACGGTCCCACCCCCCAACTCAATTATTTCTCAAACTCTCTCCATCTTATGTGGGTGAAATGAAGGCCCCCACACAAAATAAAAACTAATAAAAACACTTTTTTTTTTCTTGATATTTTAATATTTATTTTTATGTGGTATTTTTTTCTTTTGAGATAATGTTTTTCAAAAACACTTTTAGTTTATCACTCCTCTCTATTTATGGTCGTCAGATTAAATAAATCAAATGAAATAAGAGACATGATTAAACATGAAAGTATGAAAAGTTAAAAAGGTATGTGATTATCATCTCTCTTTCTTTTAAATAAAATGAAGATGTTTTAGTTTGAATATTGTACTATGGCACTAAGATTTATGTGGATTTTGCGATTGAATGTTATTGCATTTTTGTAGTTGTAGGTTCACCTGCAATTTGTAATAAATTTAAGACATTCTTTTATAGTAGTAGCGTTTACATGAACTTTCTAGTAGACTGAGTTATCACATTCTATAATAGTAAAGTTTACGCGAATTTTATAATGGACCGAGTTATCACATTTTTTTTTATCCTATTTCTTTAAAAGAAAGCGAAGATTTTATAGTAATGGTACAAAAAAAAATCTAACATTTTTTATAGTAAAAAGATTTACGTGAACTTTGTAATAGATAAAATTATCACATTGTTTAACAACAAGAGAATTTATGCAAACTTTGTAATCAACTAAATTATCAAGTTCTTTTATAGTAGTAGATTTTACGTGAATTTTCTAACAAACCAAATTATCAAAATTCTTTTATAACAGTAAGTTTTACGTAAATCTTGTAATATAACATTTATTTTTCTATAATAGTAAAATTTACGTGAACTCTAAATTATAAAGGTTTAGTGAACTCTAATGACCAAATTATCACTTGTCTCTTCATATCTACTTGTTCTTCTAATTAATTAATTGTTAATTCTAGTTTTTTTCCTTCATCACAAATAAAATTCAAAATCCAAAACAGGAAAACCCAAAAATTTAAATGATATTTCAGCTACATTTCTCAAAAGATAAATGAAAAGAGAAATGGGGGCAATATCGGAATACCAAAAAGTTGGACGGGAAAGGAAAAGAGGATGACATAAATACCCTCCAAATTGGCTAACCCTAGAAATTGCCGAAGTCCAGTCGCTGCCCTCGGTTTGCCCCTGCAAAATTTCTGTGCCTTCCCCTTCTCTACCCTTCTTCCCTCTCAGGTTTCTCTCTCCCCCACCTTCCAAACTCGAACACTTCTCTCTCTCTCTCTCTCTCTCTGCTCTTCCTTTTCTTGGTTTTCTTAGAAACAATTATTTATTTATTTTCTTTTATTAAACTGTATTAGATGCAATCTCTACTGATTTTTCGTCCATCTCTGAAGTTTCTTGATTGATATTTTTTTAATTTTGATTAATTTTTTTGTTGTGATTTTTTGCAGGTTCAGTTTGTAACTTCTGCTTGAGCTTCTGGGCAGACTTTGATTCTGTAAGTTCCGACGCACTTCAGCTTTGTTTTTCGCTGTAAATTATCTGTTTGGTTGCTGAGAAAATATCAGAAGCTTTAGGATTTGTGAGTTTGAAGCAGCCTAATTAGAGTATAACGTAGCATGGTAAGTTTCATACTTCAGTGTAAAGCCTTTTTTAGCTTATTCGTTAGGAATTCCTGCACCAGCGGGTACTGTGTGCTGATCTCAATCTGCACTTACTGTAATTTTACTGATTCCCGAATGAGTTTACATCAAAAAATTGTATTTCGTAATGAAATGGTGCTCTAAATTGGACTGTATGTCCGTTCTTTTGGGATCAATGGTAAAAAGAACATAAATTTGATCCAAATGTGCATTCTTTGTGACACAGGTCTACTCAGAAACGCAAATTGAGTTCTGTTTTAAGTTCTGTGTTTGATTGTATTGGTGGGGGTTGGTTTTTGGACCTGTAATGGCGGACCATAGTTTGGTTCTTGGGCAGAATGGTGATCTGCCATTGAGGCAGAATTCACATCCGGGACGGGGGCTGAATCACAATCTGGTTCCGGGTCAAAGTCATGGCCTTGCATTGAGGCATGCCCCTGATCAGGATTTGGAATTAGGGCATGGTAGCCATGATGATAAGCAGGGTTTTAGACATCCCCATGATCATGGATTAGCTTTCGATCAGACAAATGAACAAGAGATAGCCCTTCAACATAGGCGCATACAAAATCTTGAAGAAGAAGGTTTGGAGTTGGAGCAAGATATTGGTGTTGAAACTGATCAGGAGAATGTTGATGTCAATGAAAATGACAATGACCTTGCTCTTACTGTGGCAACTCATGAGTTGGGTTTATCAGATAATCATGCATTGTCATCGGTGGAGGGCCATGATCTTCACGAAAATTTGGATTTAGCAATGGATCAAAATCAGGAGATGGGTATTGTGCCTGACTCAGACATGAGTTTGCAGCAATCCCAGCTTTTAGATACTCCTCCTGTCCTTCAGTATCGATCTCATGCTATGACAACTAATCACCAGCTGGCTGTTGGGCAAGAGTTTCCTGATGTTCAGAGCTGTCGAAGGGCACTGAGAGATGCTGCTATTGCCCTTCGCTTTGAGATGCAGACTGTCAAGTCTGACAAAACTCGTTTCACTGCCAAGTGCGCAACAGAAGGATGCGCTTGGCGAATTCATGCTGCAAAGCTGCCTGGTGTCCCTACTTTCACAATAAGGACCATCCATGAGGAACACACCTGTGGTGGAATCACCCATCTTGGTCATCAACAAGCCTCTGTCCAGTGGGTTGCAGATTCTGTGGAACAACGTTTGAGGGAAAATCCTAATTACAAGCCAAAAGAGATACTAGAAGAGATTCACCGAGTTCATGGCATTGCATTATCGTATAAGCAGGCATGGAGGGGAAAGGAACGCCTCATGGCAGCTGTTCGTGGATCCTTTGAAGAAGATTATCGACTCCTTCCTCAATACTGTGACCAGATCAGAAGAACCAATCCTGGAAGTATTGCACAGGTTTATGGGAGTCCTGATGATAGTTCCTTCCAACGCCTATTTGTTTCATTACATGCATCTATATACGGGTTTCTGAATGCCTGTCGACCTCTTCTTGGGCTTGATAGGACTCATCTGAAAAGTAAGTATCTTGGGACTTTGCTTTTTGCTACTGGGTTTGATGGAGATGGAGCTCTGTTTCCATTAGCGTTTGGGGTGGTTGACGAAGAGAATGATGAAAATTGGATGTGGTTTCTCTCTGAGCTGCGTGTCCTGCTTGAAAATTATGCAGAGTACATGCCTAGGCTTACCATTTTGTCTGATAGACAGAAGGGCATTGTTGATGGGGTGGAACTAAACTTCCCGACTGCTTTTCATGGGTTTTGTATGCGCTATTTAAGTGACAGTTTACGGAAGGAATTTAATAATCCTCTGCTTGTTAACCTTTTCTGGGAGGCTGCTTATGCTCTTACTGGCATTGGGTTTGAACAAAAACTTATTGAGATTGAAGCTATATCACAGGAAGCAGCCCATTGGATTAAACAAATTTCTCCTCGCCTGTGGGCAACAGCATATTTTGAGGGGACAAGGTTTGGGCAGTTGACTGCTAATATGGTTGAATCGATAAATTCTTGGATAGTAGAAGCATCTGGGCTTCCAATAATTCAGATGATGGAGTGTATCAGACGGCATCTGATGACTTGGTTCAACGAGCGTCGTGAAATGAGCATGCAATGGACGGGCATACTTGTTCCTTCTGCCGAAAAGTGTGTTTTAGATGCAGTTGCGCTTGCTCGTACTTACAATGTGATTCGTGCAAATGAAGCCGAATTTGAAGTTAGAACCCATGAAGGATCAGTCACGGTGGATATTCGTACCCGTTGTTGTTCATGCCGTGGATGGCAGCTATGTGGGCTGCCATGTTCTCATGCTGCAGCAGCCCTCGAGTCATGCAGGCAACTTGTATATCGGTTCACAGAGAGTTGCTTCACAGTGGCAAATTATCGGAAAGCCTACTCAGAGACGATTCATCCAATTCCAGATAGAACTCTGTGGAAGGAGATAGCTGGATTCCCAAATGAAGGTAACCCGGAGATGTGGATGGTTATTAACCCGCCAAAGTCGCTTCGACCACCTGGACGACCAAGGAAAAGGCGAATTCGCACAGAAGATGGTAGTCGCACGAAACGAGTTGTGCATTGCAGCCGCTGTAATCAGACCGGACACTTCCGAACAACTTGTGCTGCCCCCATATAGTCGCCAATACCCAAGCTCATACTGTGCAAAGAAGATATAGGCTTTTCTCTGTTAGTAGTGTCTTGATTTGTATCTTTGCGTGTTCATAGGCCTTCATTAGACACAGGATCTTCCCGTAGGCTTTTTATTTCGGATAGTCGATGTCCAGTTGATGCTTCAGTCACATATTTCGATCGTTAATTAGCAACGTAATCAGTTAATTAAACATTCTTAATCAATTAGTTCTATGAGCTTCTAATTTTTGTTTGTCTTTTATTTCTTTCCATGGTGTTTTTGGTTTTGGTATTCTGAGATTAAATCCTTTTTTTTTCTATTTTTTTTAGCAAGCGATATTATCAACACTAAAAGGATGAGGAAGTGGGTTAAGCTTCACAATAGGCTAGTAATAATGTTGTTCATGTTTCGAATTCTTTTGAAGTCAGCTCAAGACACGAGTTCTAAACCCTAAATCATAAGCCTTGTTTAGAATGACAACTCTAAACCATGAGTGGTTAACTCTAGTTAAACCCTAAATGACAACACCAAACCCTACAACCTTTGTGCTTCAAAAAAAAACCTAGTAAGTTGGTCTATTTATTTTCAGTGGATTGATCCTTGTTCAATGTTTGTATCTTTTCCAGTATGTGTATTATACCAAACTTGCAGACATTATCCTCCATATAACAAAGTTGAGACAAAACTTAAAGCCAAATACTTTGAGGTAGTCCAATCTGCATGCAAGTCAAATATCTCAGCTAGATATTTGTTTGCTTCATGTTTTTTACTGCTTATGCGAATTTCTAACAAAATTAAGCATCGTAAAATATATTTCCAAAGCATTTTTCAAAGCTTCTTTATGGCGCCCATAAATCTTTTCTACGCCTTCCCTCCTACAGTCCTACTCCTAGTTTCTTTTATAATTTTTTTTGGTTAAATAGCTTAAAAATCAATAAAAAAAAACACTTAAAAGATTCAATAAATAGTAAGACCCTTTTTTAAATCTAAAATATTTTCCTCACTACATCATTTTGTGTTCTTTCTCTTTGACATAAACCATTAAAGCTTATAGAAAATTTCAAATTCAATATAAATACTTACAGAAAGTTCAATAAAAAATCGCTTTTAAACTGTAAGACCGCTTTTGAAAATTTAATAAAAAATAAGTAAGGAAAATTTCAACATAAAGCCTTAAATCTCATGTAGATGAATTCATGTATTTTATGTCTAACCCCAAGAAATTCTGCAACAAAATGAAAACGGAAAAAATGCCTACTTTGTGAGATTGTGTTTAGGTTTTCAAATACCAAGATGAAAGTTGGCACCACTTTTTGAGGAGAACATGCTCGAAATGTGGGAACAGAATGGCTACTCAGGAAAAGGGACTTTGACTTGTCATAAATCTTTCAAATATGCATATGGTATAGAGGTAATGATTCCATTAGCTTCTGGTATTAAACTTGATTGTGATTTTTTATTTTTATCTTTCTGTTACACGATAATATGACGGCTGTTACAATCAGCGTTCTGCATTTATTATACTCTAGAGTTACTTGCTTAGTTTTTGCGCTAAACAAGTCGGTCGGGAAAAAAAATAAACTTAACTTTTATTATTTGTAACCGTTGAAACATGAGATGTTGAAGAAAGTCGTCTAGGTCTAGGGACTATAGTGCTCGCCCTGATCAATCATAGAGTATTTAAAAAATCATGTAGGGCCTAATTGGAAAGTTGATTTTGATTCCAAAATATCTACTAAGGACTTTATTAATTTGTAGTCAATCAAAAATTATCTTAATAATTTGTATACACATTCTTCTCTTTTCCATAGCACATAGATGTGTGGGCTAAGTTTGACTCGAATATGAAATTAAAACTGTTTTTTTATGAACGAATCGATTCCAAATAAAACTCTTTGAGGAATATCAAGATTTCATACATTGAAAATTATTTTCAAAGATGCAAAATTAGGAAAATTTTAAAACTAGACTCCGAGTTAAGAATAATTATATTCTAAATTGGTTAAAAAGGCTGCCACAAAATTTCCTTCTTGATATTATATATGCAACTGATTGACAAAAGAACTTTTGAATATCTCTAACTTGTGACAAAATAGACCAAAAATATATATGAAATTGAAACATGGATAGGAGATCTTAAACTTATTATCATCAAGTCAAGACAAAAATAAAATAAAATTGGGGAGTGCATTATGCATAATAATGCACTTTATATTCCACTTTTCTTTTGTCCCTTTTTCCTTTCTGCTTTAAAATTTGTTGGTTGGTTGTCTGTAAATAGCTTTAACATACCAATCTGTGTTAAGCTTGGGATTTAAGCTTGGCATAAATCACATATGCATGCCATCATTGATAACTGAAGGTTCTCCACCTTCCGTCACCGTCCCTTTACCCAAGTGGCAAGCAAAAGGCATATCCTTTGCTTGTAAGCTGCAATCAACACCAAGGTCAAGATCCTTGCATGAAAGCAACACACCCTCCTCAAACTATTCATCACTTCATCAATTATTAATCAGTCTCAATAGACCCGGTTACAAACTTTTAATCACAATATATAGAATTGGAGGGACATCAATTTAACAGACAATAAGAGTACTAAATCGTGGTGTTTGTATTTGTTTTATTTGTGCATATTTCCACTATTTTAGGTATTGGTGCAGGTTTTACATAAGTTGATTGTTAAAAAGCAACTACAAAGTCTGGACCATATACAATTATACATTGGCCTTAGCAAAGGTTTAGGGCAGAAAGCTTTTGAAAGTAGAGGGTAGCTTGTTCCTTAATCTATTTTTAAGTACCTAAAGAAGCTATTTAAGTTGACTTTAAAACTACTAACTAATATATTTTCTTGAGGAGAGAAAAAGAAAATCTTGACAATTTCCTTTTACTTTGGATGTTTATTATTACAATTTGATATCCACAAAGAACCTTTGGCCAGCTATGTGTGCAATTGAAAGCAAGTTTAGCAGTATTAGTGTAGAAGGTGGACTCCATGTGTCATGTGACATGGGGAAAGAATCTTGTTTTCATCCTTACGTATATAAGGACCCCATGAAAATATAATGCATGGCCATATAAAATCTCTCTCTCTCTCTCTGTATGCCATCTCTCTCTCCTCTCCTCTCCTCTCTCTCTCTCTTAAGAACAGTTGTGGGGAATGTTGTCTGGTTCGAGATCTTTCAATAAAACTTGAAGATCGTTATCATCTGAATGATCTCGGACCAGGCTTCATTCCCCTCAACTTGGAGGAATATACAGAGTCTAGAAACATATCATGCATTAAAATGCAACGAAGAATTATACAGGTACATCAATTTGTTGTTTTAGTACACTACTGCCTAATGATTCCTGTTATGTGCAGAGAAGCTGGCTGCAGATTTTCAATCGTGGCCGGAATCGGCAACGGGAGCAACCCAGCATCAGGTCGGTAATGATATATAGTTTAATTCTTTCTTTTTCATGCTTAAATGTTGACAAAGATGTTTAGTGCCGATGCGAACTGCAAATTAAAGCTTTCCTTCTGTCCTTTTCGTTTGTTTATTTCTTTGATGTTCTGATAAAGGATATAAAGATCTCTCTCTTCCATGCCAAACTATACCTTACAAGATAAGTGAACCCTAAATTGGAAGAAAGACTTGTATGAAACTGAGACGTTATGTGAGAAAGTTAAAACGTATAATGACGCTGATAAACTTGATATATTGACACTTTGGTGGCCTCATTTCATATAAGTATATGCTCAGATTTACGTGTGAAGTTCATAATTTCAGATCTGCTAAATATAGATAACTATATAGCTTCTCAATTGGCTGCTTGATATTATTTTACTTTGTGAGATGAAAAAATTAAAAATAAATCATGTCCAAAAGAAAAATAATGCAATTGAAAGTGGAGCATGAAGTATGCTGATATGAGAAGAATACAATATCAAGAGTTATAAGTGTGGGTTCTAATTTTCATGTTGAAAGTAAAAGCTAGGTTGTAAAATAGGAATCAAAGTACTTATTTGTTTTGTGGGGCTTTTGATTGGACTTCAGAGGGATAAAAGAACCTATTTGGGGGGTTGAAATGAAAGATTGCAGGGAGAGAAATGGAGAGGGGGTGCCAGCTGCCTACCAGTGCGATCTTTGTCTGCTTATGTGTATTATATTCTCATGCATATGCTATCCTGACTCTTTTTTCATGCAACATTGTAGGGTATTGTCTAATTTTCAACAAATTATGGCACGATTTGGATGGTGGGATTTCTTGTTTTTGGAGAACTGGTACCTTCAAAATACGGTAAAATTGTTTGCTAACTGTTACAAAGTTTTTTAGAGAGAGAGAGAGAGAGAGAGAGAGAGAGAGAGAGAGGGGAGGGAAGAGAGTGTCTGGTCTCTTTTAGTTGACATCCATCAATCTAAATTCATTTGGCAATGTGGTTTCCTTCAGAAACAGAAACTAATTGTATGTTTGTGCATGTTTTCAACCGTCATGGTGGGTATCCAATTCTCCTCAAGAATGAACAGCCGATGGTACAACTAAAAATAAAACCATAAAAAAAAGGTCGTACCCAGTGCACAAGGCTCCCGCTTTACGCAGGGTCTGGGAAATGTGAATGTCGGCTAGCCTTACCCCCATTTTATGGAGAGGCTGCTCCCCAAGTCTCGAACCTGAGATCTACCGCTCATAGGCGAAACTAAAAATAAAACCATATTCTACAAATTTCTTTAGTTTTGTAAGTAAAGCATGTGGAAAGCTGATGAATGTGACAACTGCAAAAGTTGAAGTATTGTATAAGTATGCAGACTTGGGCGTAGCCAAGTTAGCTAGAGGCTAGAGCACCCAAGCTCGAATCTCCTTCTTCGCTAATACGTTAGAATATGGTTCAAATAAAGAAAAAGTATTCAACAAGTAAAAATATATACAGAAACATTCATAGACATACCCTTCACAATATGACCCTCATAGCACAACTAGTAAGGCCAGACTCTCAAACCATTTCAGTTCGGCTTTTTGACATGGGGGTAGATGTTTTTTCGTTCTATAAATAAATGGAAAATATTTTGAGGTCATAAAAAAGAAAGAGAACAAAAGGCTCGTAAAGTATCGCAGCAGAAAATTTTAGTGAATAATTTGCAGTTCTTTTATTGAATTCTCAACATGAACATTTGACAGAATTTAAGGTTTTCATGAAGTACAAACAAGTTTAATATCTGTATTACAAAACTATGGAGGAGAACGGGGGGCGGACTGATTACAACACACTCTTTGATCATGTTCTCTCATACTTTGACGAAAGATTAACGCTGAAGCGACGTTCATAGAATAGTACCTTTCAGAGGTAAACTTCTCTTCTTCTTTGACACCATGTCATAATCTGCGAGACCAGGAGAAAAATGCAACTTTGACATGCATGCACAAGCACGCTGCACTAGGTCTTGTTTCTTTGCAACCTTGATTCAGGTGAGTCACACGCGCACTGCAGTTGAATGCATCTTCAATCCTTTACTCCATCGATGTGATCTCCTCTTGTACAGAGCCCCGTCACCCCACCACTGAAGATTTTGTTTTGAATACAGTACAGATCAGCCATTTAAGACCATAGCAATGCACCTTCACATTTTGTAACTTAGAAGATAGCATCAAAAAATTCGAAAAACCTTGTTCTTTGGAAGATCTATCTCATGTCTGATATTGTATGGTTTCACTCTGCAAGAACTCCAAATCATTCTCTTGAATTAAGAGTCCTTATGTGTTTCCATGCCCCTTCGAGACCCTGAAAAATGAACAACTTCCTTTTCTTAGGAACACATACAAGACCTTTACCATACTATTGAAGCGGGGTTGGTGCCCACCATAGCCCAAAGTTGACTCCCTCCGTTCTTGATACGAGCTGAATCAATAAGAATTGTAATAATATCACGATCTCACTGAAAAATTTCTTACTTGCAAATTGTGTGAGAAATAAATGCTTCGCTACTTTAAAATAAGAAATAAATTTAATCGGCATTCTTAAGACATGCATTATGATATTATTTGTCAACAAAAATTCGTTAAATTTAACATAAAATGCATAAATAGATTAACATGCCTGCCTTTTGTGTGAAAAGCATTAATATACATAATGGATCACAAGCGTTATAGAAAAAAAAAGTGTACGCTTTTTTTTTTTTTTTTTTGGCTTTTGACAAGCCTAATACTCTATATCATTTCTAACTTATGACAGAAAATTTGAACTCAAATGCAATAAATTTTGAACTGAACTGATGTAATTCACCTAGGCAAAGAAAGTGAATGTTTTTTTTTTTTTTTTTTTTTTTTTTTTTTGCTAATAAAGAAAGTGAATGTTGGAAATTCTTAAAAGTGGGGAAATTATAATTGCTAAAAAATACTTTAGTTTATAAAAGTGTTTAATGAAATAATTAGATTAGTTGGCCTTTGCCATGTTATATATTTGGTTAGTTCCATTAATAATATTATTATTAATTGACTAACAACGTTCTCTCAAAGATAATATCGACGTGTGTAACCACTCAATAGCAACAAACTATCACGATTAACATGCAACGACAAAAAGCATAACCAAATCCCAAATTTTCCTTCATCTTTTTAACAATCAAATGAACAAAAACAAAAATATATAAGCAAAAATAAATAAAAATATTCATTCATTCTTCAAATCTGAGCAATTTTCCTGGAATTTGTAAGACATGCAGAAAGGTAAGAATTATCATGCAACAAAGCTAGTCAGCCTCTTGATATTGGCCTTTTCCGTCGCTCTTTGCTTCCATCCTTCATGCAAAAACCTATCTCATTTTTCGTTCCTCATCACCTCTCCATTTTCTTCAGATCACACCTTCACTCAGATCCTTGTAGCCTCCTCAATCGGCATCATCATTGCCGCCGCGCTGCATTACCGCCTCCGAAAGCACAAGGATCAGAAGGTCATCCCCCGCCTCAAGGTTTCCGACTCGAACCGCGTTCATCACAAGCTCGAGAGGTTCCCCCACTATGTAGGTAATGATAACATGATCATCCGCTTATTTTCCGTGGCCTTTGTGATCTGCAAGGTGTTTGTGATTGAATATTTTTGGCTTTGTGTTGTTGTGGATGCAGCTAGGCAGCTGGGATTCAAAGACAGAAGAGAATGTCCACAGCTCTGCAAGCTAGCCACTGAATACATTAGAAAGTTTGAGGGGTTTGAGGAAGATATCTACAACTTCTTTTCCAGTGAACCGGATGCGGATTCTCTGTTTGTGAAGCTCGTCGAGGAGTTTGAGAGATGCATCCTCAGTTATTTTGCATTTCACTGGAGCCAAGCTGATATGATGATTACTCAGGTGATTAAGATCAAAAACAAAATATATGGATGATAATGTGATAGTGTTCATGATGCATTTTTTTCCATAATTTAACCATACAATGTTGAATTCCGGTGATTTATTTCTCCGTGGAACTGAAAGTAACAACAATTTATAAAATTTCAGATCTTGAGTTGTGATGCTGAGCCCAAAAAGAAGCTCAAAACATTGTCATGGCGGCAACCAGGTGGGAAATTTAATTCTTTTTGGTAGGGTATGCGTGTGCGTGCGTGTGTTAGTAAGACATGGAAATTGATATGCAAATATTGAAGTTTATAGGAATACTAATTACCTGCAATTTGTGATACAGAGAACAGAGATTCGAGAGAGTGACGAAAAATTTGAAGGTGGCTAGAGTTTTCACTAACTTAGTGGAGGAGATGAAGGCGATGGGACTCGCACAGCCGGATGACTCAACGTGCACAGAGGTGATGGCTCCGGTGGCTCATGCTGACAGAAGTCCGGTCCTCCTGCTCATGGGAGGTGGAATGGGAGCAGGAAAGAGCACTGTGTTAAAGGACATTCTCAAAGAGTAAGTATATTTGAATGCAAAATCTATATAAACCAACTTCTTTTGGAAAACTGTTGGGTTTCTAACCTTATTCCACATGCGGATCATCTTCATTTCTAAAATTTTGATTTACCAACCACATTATGAATCGGGAAATCAGAAGCGAAACTTTATTTTCTTACCGGCTGAGGAGTATTTCCAAATTAATGAACACGAAAAATAAAGTGGAGAGAAGCTAACATGGTATTTTTGGATGAAATGCGTTACAGACCATTCTGGCACGGAGCAGCGGGGAATGCTGTAGTGATTGAGGCAGACGCCTTCAAAGAATCAGATGTCATATACAGAGCTCTCAGCTCCAGAGGCCATCATGACGACATGCTTCAAACCGCTGAACTGGTATATATCAACTCTTTCTTCTCTTTCTCTCTAACTTCAAGAGCAGCATCATCACACTTTTCCCGGAAGTTCCCTGCAAATAGCGTAGACTTGACCCGTAAAATTGACGTATAGAAGTATTCGCTGCACATAGCTTTTTTATAGCCCGAGTTATATTACCTGAAGGGGCATCTGATTACAGTGCATCTCTATCCTTGATCTGGATGAAGAAGTTGATCCTTCACGACACGAATCTAAACAGGTAGTACTTCTCTTAACCACACTGACGTAGGAGGATCTCCAGCCATTGCCAGAATCCTTAGGACAGATGATTATATGAGGCCTTAAAACTTTCGATACGAAGCTACCTTCAAAACTCAGAACGCTACCCACCTATCTTCTCTACTTTCAGCGTCTGTTTCCTGTCTCTATTACAATGCTGCAGTGGAACTTTAGATGCACAGAATTTACTCAAAAACTGATAAAATAGCGTTAAACAGGTACACCAATCATCTACGGACGCAGCATCATCCCTCCTCGTCACAGCGCTTAATGAAGGGCGGGATGTCATCATGGATGGCACACTCTCTTGGGTACCATTTGTTGTGCAGACGGTAACAATGGCCAGAAATGTTCATCGCCGTCGTTACCGCATGGGGCCTGGTTACAGGGTGAATGAGGATGGAACTGTCACTGAAAACTATTGGGAACGACTTGACGATGAAGAACCAGAACAAGTAGGAGGCAGAAAGAGAAAACCGTACAGGATAGAGCTTGTTGGAGTCATGTGTGATGCTTATCTAGCTGTTATAAGAGGCATCAGGTAACATTACATGTCAAAGATATCCTATTTTTCTTAATTCTTGTTCTTTTCGCTCTCAAATTTGTGGCAAGAAAAAACATTGATGCATGAAATTGGGCATTCTCAATGACAACAGGAGAGCTATCATGGTTAGAAGAGCGGTGCGAGTAAACTCACAATTGAAATCCCACAAGAGATTTGCTAATGCATTTCTAACATATTGCCAACTGGTTGACAACGCGAGACTATATTGCACGAATGTACTGGAAGGCCCGCCTAAGGTACGCCTGCTACCCTTCTTTTCGTTTATCTTCCTTTCCAATAAGAAAAACCTGCAGACCTTCACATAAGCAAGCTCAATAAGGACGGACTTTCTTGGTCAAAGCTCGGATACGTAACATAATAGTACAAACTTACAGTTTCCTTTGATGGCTTTGATTTCCACATCTCCTAGCCTCGGAAATCATAGCCGTTGCACCCTGAACCCCGAAACACGTCTGATGAAGTCCGGGCGTCCATCTGAATTCAAGATGTATAGAATGAATTTACTAGTCAATGATGGATATAAAGCACGCTTATAGCAATCTAAGATAATGATTTTTGTGAAGTTGATAGGATGGAAAGACAAAGACAAAACATTGCTCGTGGATCCAGATGAAATCGATTGCTTAAAAGGGTGGGCAGGCTAAATGACACAGCGAATTCCATATACGAACTTTACAAGCGCCCTAACCCAGCTTATGAAACCGGGTCAGTCTGGAAGGACATTGTCTTATCACCTTCAAGATTAAACATTCAAAAGGAGCTGAAGTACTCCATTCAGAAAGTCGAAAGATTGAAACAATAAGCCAACGGTCCCAGCCAGGTAGCATTTTAAACTTCTTATCTTCACAGCTCACAAGACGGGAGGAGACATAGCAAAGGATCGGAGTTTTCCATATTTGCAACCAGCAAGTATTTGTCAGTGTTGTAGCAAAGACGAGGAGCTTTCTTGTCTGTGTTGTATCAAAAATGAGGAGCTTACTCCTAACGTTTATATATATAGAAGGTGAAGATTTGCAGGTCAAAATTCGGATTTATCTTCACAGATGATCATAGGCATATATATGAGATTGACAATGTCTGATTTCCTTGTTGTATGAACTTCATTAGGCCAGTTTAGAAAAGATATTTCCTTTTTCCTTGTGTTTTCTGTTCTGATAAACCTAAACTTACCCTTAACATAAACATACGGTGTAATCGAAATGAATTAATGACTTTGAATTCAGATGTTCCAGGATGTACTTGAGTAGTGAAATTTTTTTGTTATTCAACAGAGAAGAGTGGTAGCGAAGAAACTATAAGAATTAAATGAGTTGTGTATTTTTCCGGTAAAAACGAGTTAAGAAATGAACATTCATACAGTTATATCCAATATAATCTATAACAACGCAACTGTGAAATCAACACCTGCCTTAAATAAATCTATAGATCCACAGCTAATTGGCAAATAAATTCGACTCCAGATGGTAACCTAGAGTTTCTTAAAAGACACTGTTCGACCCTAAATGGCAGATGCATTGAGGAGGGCATTAGAATATAACCAAAACTACATAGCCATAGCGTAAGGAGAAAGAAATAATCCGACCAAAAACATTCGTATCTTCTAAACCAGTATTTAATGCTACTTTTTGTGATTCTTTCTACTATCAGAAGTCATAGGAACAATGATTTTCGAAGCTAAAACAATGCATCTGATGCATCAATTGAAATTCAACGTACAGATGACAAAAACGAGTACCTGCCTGATATCAGCCTGCTACATTCAATGTTTAACCTGCATTTGAGACTGAAAACCTGCACTCCATTAGGTAGAAAAAATAAAAATAAAGAGAGAGCGCTCTCAAGCCAAGTTCAACAGTAAACATGGTTAAACCTTAAGGGAAACAATGGTAAAAGACATGCCTGCATGTGTCTCTACTCCCTGGTCGTCGACTCATCAGCAATAACTCCTTTATTTTGGTTGGCATTGTTGTTTCACAAGTCCAATGAATTGTTTCACACATCTCTTGGGTAGCTTGTGAACAAAACCCTCCACCAAACAGGCAACATAAGAACTTCTCCATAAGTTCATCCAACAATAGTAGAACCGAATGCCAAACCTCTATGTTATCTCTCTTCTCCAGTTGTCCAAATCTTACTTCCACCAAACAATTTTGTAAATTACACAACCCAGGACCTAGTTATCAAGAGTTTGTTGTAGTTGAAAACTAGTGTGATGCATGAATAACCAAAGTTGTGGAAGAAACAACAGGTTCCTCGACAGGACAATTTCTTTCACGGTCTCAATTATGATGGGCGAGCAAACAGAAGAAGGGAAGTGCGTATTTTTCATGGCATTAAAATCGCAAGTATATCAATCTAACCAGAACGCTGAAAATGGAATTGATAACAAAAAAAGGAAACACGAACCAGAAAAAGCAACTGCATATGAATGAGGAAAGAAATTCTGAATGAACATGGAGATTGGAACAGAGTTTAGAGAAACAAATTACCAGCAACCGAACGTATAACTGAAATGGAAACTGCCTGGGAGATTCATGTCTAGGTCTCAATCTCTTTAATTTATCACCTCCATGGTCTAGAAAGCAAGGTAATGCTTAGCTCAAAGCAAACACATTTCATGTTTCGCGCATCTCAACTTCTTCTTGCATGAAGAATCATCATGGATAAGGAGGCCATGTTTTCTGTAACTCAGTTGTTCCATGAGTTGAAACTCTGTCGCACCTGGTTTCTTCAACTCCCAACCGCTTAAATTGTGTGTTTCGCCTAAACAACTCGGGTATGGTTTCAGTAACTCAGTTGTTCCATTGTACAGTATGATCTTACTCAACAGATCATTCAATGTTGGTATCCCAACAACCATCTCATGTTATGATAAACATCTTGTGTGTCTATGACCATGACATAGCACTGACTCCGAACCCTACTTATTGGCGTCATTCATCTCCAAATCTCGGACATATATCAAAAGATTTCTCTTGCCCAAATTCGTTTCTACGATCTTATCAAGCACTTCACATGTCTACACTCGCGCTATTTGCTTCCATGTAAAACTAAGAAACAAGATTTCATAGGATGAGTATAGCCTCCTTAACCGGGCACTTCAATTGTTCAGTATCCCACCCAACTCCATTAAAGCAATGTAATCCCACTCTTAAAAACACGCCAAACATAAGCTATGCATTCAACATCCAATCCAAAACCAAACAATTTTTTTCTACACAAGCAATATTCGACAAGTTGAGATTCAAGTCTATGCAAACAGATGTTACTCACGCCATTGGAGTATACACACAACAATGCTAAAATGCGCAGGCTGGAACACGATAACTCTTCATCTTCTCTATTTCAACTCAAATGTACTCAAATTTGTTACAATCCATTCCCAAACTGTGTCCCCCACAAAACCCTAGACAAACACAAATAAAATAACAGATCCATTTTCCGGCAGAAAATTACTCGAAAAAGGAAAATTAAAATAAAATCCGGATTATATATTCTTCCTTTTTAAACTGCAACGACGAAGAGATTTACAAGACTACCCCTACGGACCCACTAGACTCTCTTCCTCTCTAAACTCTCTTCACTTTCTTCCCTTGCGAGCTGGAGCTTTCTTCGCCGGCGACTTCACGCTTCGTGGCTTAACGCTCCGGGCCGGAGCTTTCTTTGGCGTCGCCGCTTTCTTCGGGGCAGGGCGGGCGGTCGGAGCCTTCCTTCCGGGTGATGACCTCGTCAGTGTCCTCGCCGCCTTCGCTGGCTTCTCCTTTGCCTTCGGCTTCGGAGCAGCCGCCTTGGGCTTGGCAGCGGCAGCTTTTGGCTTGGCGGCGGGGGCTTTAGGCTTGGCAGCAGGCTTAGGCTTTGCCGGAGCAGCCGCTTTGGGCTTCGGAGCAGCAGCTTTTGGCTTAGCCGCGGGTTTTGCCTTCGGTTTCGCCTTAGGCTTGGCGGCAGCAGCCTTTGGCTTTGCCGGAGCTTTGGCAGCTGGTTTTTTCCCTCCCTTAGGCTTGGCAGCAACAGCTTTTGCCTTCGGCTTAGCGGCGGCCGCCGGCTTCTTCTTCTTCACCGGAGATGCAGGCTTCGGCACCGAGGACCTCACAGGCGGGAGCTTGAAGGAGTTTTTGACCTTGACGATCTTATTAGAACTCACAAGCTTCTTCAAATGGAAGAGCAGAAGCTTCTTGAAGTTGGGCGGCAGCTGCTTTTGCTTATCCTCGATGAACTTAGTGATCGCGTACTGGCTCGAACCAGTCCTCTCCTTCAACGTCACAATCGCGTCCTTAACCATCTGCAGACAACAAAATCGAACCGGAAAAATAAGATCGGAAACCCTAAATCTCGAAACATGCAGAACACGAATCGAGAAATTGAGAATTCAAATTTTCGAATCCGAGAAAATGCGTTTACCTCTTCGTACGGAGGGTGAGCTGGAGCGCTTCTAGGCTTCCTCGGAGCAGGCGCCTTCTTCGCCTTGGGCTCCTTGGCCTTGCCGGTCTTGGCCGGCGGTTTTTCGGCCGCCGTCTCGGTGGTGGCCGGCTCGGGAGGAGGATTCTCGACCGTCTCGGTCACGACGACCACGGTGGCTTCTTCGGTCGCCATGAACAATTCGAATTTTAGGGTTAGGGTTTGAAAATAAAGGGGAAAGGGAAGAGGACTGGAATTTGAAAGAGGGGAGGGAGATCTGGACCGACCGGCAATGTACGTGTGTGTGGAATTCACAGGTAATTTCGTTGTGTGGGAAGATGACGGAAATTGGACTCTTTAAATAGTCAAGTGCCTGAGGGACGATATCCGAAAGCTGGGCGCTGATTGGTCGTCAGGACCAGCACGCGGATCGCTGCCTTTCAGAAATTTGAATGTGGGCCTTTGGATGAACCGTTGTGGACGGTTGTGGATGCTCTGGGTGGGAGAGGTGTAGATGGCTGGGTTAGGAAAATGAGGTGTTCATTCTTGGCTTGGGTGTGCTTTTGTGCTCAATTAATTTGATCATATCTTGATATTAACTTGATGGATTTCATTGAAATTTTTTTTCACCTTGTAGGAAATTATCTAAGCTTTCCAACGAGTATTTTTTCCTTTTTTTCCGAGTACGGGTTCGGGATTTATTGGAGTTTGAAGCCACAATGGTCAAGATTAGGGTTTTTAGTGATGTTATTGTCGTCTCGAGCGATTTTCAGAGAATGCTCGGAACCTAACCCGGATTTTTTTACCTCATCCGATACAAACGTAGTTAAGGAATGCGTCAGTTCAAGAATCACAGAAATCCGACTAGATTCGGGTATAGAAATGTGGATGGGAACGCAAATGAAGTTGCACAAAACTTTTGCTCATTGTGCAAAGGTGTGACATATTACATGTGGTATGTATCCTATCTGTAAAACATCAAATGACCTAACAAATTAGCACTAAATCTTCACATCCTATGACATCAAAAGTGATCTTGGAACATAAATCCAAGTGAAATCCAAATCCGATGGTCATTGGGTTGATTTAGAATTAAGTATATATGTTCCTTTAGCATGTAGAACATTGACACATATGCCACTTGCAACTTATGTAACTTGACATGATAGACTTCTTGCTCATCCTTTATATACCTTCAAAATTAAGGACAATACTGTATTTTTACTCCATATGAAAGCAAAATTTCATGTAAAAGATGCAGTGGATTAACAATAGTTCTTAAGTTTTTGCTTAACTCACTCATTGGTTTGCTAACTGCACCTATCAAAAGGGTTTACATACCCAGAAGTTGCTTGCAGCTTTTGCAACATCTTATATATTTTCCAGAACTTCTTAGATATGCTGCATCAAAACATGTAACACAATTGAATTCACATGTAAAATAACAAACAAATGTACAAAAAACACCAGCTTTCAACTTAAATTTGTGAAAGTTACTAGCTGGTTCCCTTATTTCATGCACCGGTCGAAATCATTTGGTGGCTCGATCGAATTTTGCAGTTTCTTGCTAACTAATACACATACAGATTGTGATGCTATCTAAGTCAATCTTGTCCTCCCATTGCATATAGTAAGAATCTCCTAAGCCCCTCTAACACAGTTCTCTAACCCCTTCTTTCTTAAACAACTAATTACATAAATAAGCACACATATAATATGTGTGTACATCCAAATTCCTCTTTCTCCGTCACTCTAATTTCTCCCCTAATCTCTTTCTCTTAATTGATTATAGTTTTTCTTAATTGTCATTATCGTTGTGTTATTCTTTA